GTGTGATTGGCTCCCTGTGGCCCCCCTGAGTGGACCTCCAAGCAGGAGTTGGAGCCGCCTGGCTGGTGTGGATGCCTCATCTGTAGTCGGCTTCCCAGTCACCCCTGATCTGTATGTGGCAGCTGGGGTTCCTGGGTCCGAGATGAGTTTGAAGCCAGCCCGTTATTTTTAGTAAAAGGTGACATGCTGGGTTCCTTGTTCAGTCCAGACTGTTGTTATTAGCTAGGATTTATTGAGCATTTACTGTGTGCCTGGCATGGGGCTAAGCCCTTTCCATGTGTCCCCTGCCATCGCACCACGCCTTCTCAAGGAGCTGCTGCCATTTTTCTCATGGTGCAAAAAGGAACTGAGCTCAGAAGTTCGCAAACCTGCCCAGTGTCGCCACCTGGAGAGTGGGGAGGCTGGGACCGGAGGGTGGCATCTCTGCCCCCAGGCCCTGTGCTGACGGGGGCGGGGGGGGGGGCCTGGAATACGGAAGGACCTGTTGCGTAAGATGGTTTGTTCCCTGCAACATGATAGCATCGTGCTCTCACGTTGCAGCCTTCCAAAGTCCATTTGAACGTGCACACGCGCGGTCTGCGTTCTCAGCCCGGCTTAGTCTCTTGGAAAATGACTGGTCTGCCCTTAGAGTCCGAGGATGAAGTCATTGTATGTTTCTCTCTGGAGCAGTTTGCGTTGCTGCTTCTGGAGACTCCATTGGAGCAGTGTGCCTCACTGGAGCGTAAGGGCGCCGTTGGATGACAGGGAAGCAGACTTGTATTTCGGTGGTCACGGAAGTAAAGTGGGCACCAGGGGAGCCTAAGGCCGCACTTCCAACTCCCTTTGCTCAGCTTCTCCGGACTCCTGAGTAAACACAGACGGGGCTCCGCTTACTCGTCAGTTTCACGTAGAAAGTTCTTGGGTGGTCAGTTCCGCCTGCTCCTCGAACTTTTCCGTATTTGCTCGATGGCATGTGCTTGGTAGGTCGGAAACCCGGACTTCGACATTGTAGAGATTCAGGAAGTGATGACATACAGTAACGGGTTTTTGTTACCCTACAGCGTGGTCCTGCCTGAAGGGAATTCAGAATATGAACGCAGGTCTTGACTACGTTTTCTGGTCATTTGGTGGCAGAGGGAGTTTAGAAAGCCTTCTGTTTCTAAGTTGCAGGATGGGAAGTTCTTTGAAAAGATGACCTTCTGAAGGTCATTTCTGAAGTGGTGGGCCGTACCTGGGGACCAGGAGCAGTTCCCAGAAATGTGACTGCCTCTGCAGATGCGGGGGG